TGGTATGGCATGGTGTGGTATGGTATGGTATGGTGGTGCATGGTAGTGTGCATGGTGGTGGTCGTATAGCATGGTAGTGTGCATGGTGGTGGTCGTATAACATGGTAAATCTCCCCCTATGGCAAACATCCCCCTATACATTGCGCATGTGCATAAGCGTGTCTAGCAAAGCAAGGCGGATGACGCGTTGCGCATGCGCATGGGGATTTGACCTTTATCGCTAGCGTGCAATATAGGCGCGTTCACACGGACGTTTTTGGCCCGAGCCTAATTAGGCCCGTGCCAGATTTGGCTCGAGCCGAGCGTTCACACGGACGTTTTTGGCCCGAGCCTAATTAGGCCCGTGCCAGATTTGGTCCCATCGAAAACGGCGGACCAGGCCCGAGCCAAATTTTAGCACCAGCTTTCGGCGAGGGGTAGAGCGGTAGAATCGGTTGAGCGGTAGATGCCCCGAGTGTCGAACGTGTACTTCGACGAAATAAAGTCCAAAACAGTATAAAAATTCGAAAAATTTGATCAGGATGCACGTTTTCAAGATTGATAATTCAACTAGGAACGTAAGTAAACACTCTGAATCGTACACAACGCCATCTCGCGACATACTGCCAAACTATCTGTGAGATTTTTGCATTGCATTATTTGTGCAATAAAATTTATTTGAATTTGAATTTGAATTTGACAGACAGTATTCACTTGCGTACGTGTGAACGCGCCGACTCAAACCGGCCCGAGCCAAACCATGACCGTGTGAACGCGACTTATGAATAGGGACGACTGTCATTGGGGGCATGTTCTACCATGCTGCGCCGGAGCGGTTTCAATCGCGGCCATATTAGATTCGGACGAGTCAAATCGTAAATGACGGAAATCAAGAATAAGCACTTATCGGCGACCGCGAGTTCCGACTCGACCAGCTAGCGACACTTTTCATGAGTTTTATCTCTCCGTAATGCATTCGTTAGGTGGAGCTGTATTTCTGCGGCAAACGGTCGGGGGTTGTGAAGGAAGGAGCAAGATCAATACGCTGAGATCGCGCTTGCGGCTAAAATTCCGACTCTAGCACCATGGCTATAGGTAGCGGCCGTAGAGTCATGCGTCTAGCATCATACTAGCTGCAGTAGCCGTGGCTGCATGACTCTAGTGTCATACTAGCTGCAGCATCCGTGGCTGTATAACTCTGGCTTCATACTAGCTGCAGCATCTGTGGCTGTATAACTCTAGCATCATACTAGCTGTAGCAACCGTGGCTGCATGACTCTAGCATTATACTAGCTGCAGCATCCGTGGCTGCATGACTCTAGCATCATACTGGTAGCAGCATTCGTGGCTGTATAACTCTAGTAGCATACTAGCTGCAGCATCCGTGGCTGTATAACTCTAGCATCATACTAGCTGCAGCATCCGTGGCTGTATAACTCTAGCATCATACTAGCTGCAGCATCCGTGGCTGTATAACTCTAGCATCATACTGGTAGCAGCATCCGTGGCTGTATAACTCTAGCATCATACTGGTAGCAGCAGCCGTGTCTACATGACTCTAGCATCACACTAGCTGCAGCAGCCGTGGCTGCATGATTCTAGCATCATACTAGCTGCAGCATCCGTGGCTGCATGCCTCTAGTAGCATCATGCTAGCAGCAGCTGTGGGCTCACGCACGTACGGCACTACAGGTGCAGATATATTGACAGATATTAAAGTGATCGCGTGTTCTCTGAGAAAGTGCGATTACGTTTGGCAAGACTGTGGTTTTACGACGGAGCTCCTACACTGCAATAATTTAGTGTTTCTCTCGCAAATCGGGCCCCGCACGGGCGTTAATTGGCAATAACCCAACGCCATATACATACCGCCTTGTGGAAAGAACTGTGCGTAGATATCCTTGAACGTGTCTTCATTCACCATGCCCGTGGGGCATTCCTGCAAATGAATGGCCGATAAATCAATGGTTACACGCCAAATACACTCTACGGCACAAACAACTAACGTGTGCCATAATTGTGCGGGGCGCCTAGGGGGCATGCTATACACTACTTAAGCGGATAGAATGCAACGTGTGTAAGCAAACTGAAATGATGAAATACGATAGCTCGTAACCTGTGAAGCCACGGGGCTATTTCTGTTGTGGCTGGTTCGCTTTGTCAGCGCCAGGCTGTGTTTGATAGGAGCGGATAAATTCTGTTATGACATGCCTGTATCCGTTAGGCCTAAAATATAACCCGTTTCTGTTATGACTCGGTATGCCAAAGCAAGACGCTGAGTAGTCGAGTAAACTGTGGGTTTCTGACAGGCTCTAATATATCAGCGATGTCACATTGAATCACGCGATGCTGCATCCAGCCGAGTTGTAGTTGATCGTAATGTAGCATGGTTTCTACACGACCGCACACGAGCCGAGTTTCATCGAGGTTCGAATGCATGCTTTCTTCAGCTTCTCCGGTCATCCACACGCGCTTGATACTCGGTGCGATAATTCTGATGGCATACGACGACCATTGACGAATCGTCTCTTTATCGAGTTTCGATGGAAACGATGTCGACGCATTATACATGTTTGGTTTACACGTGCCTGTGTTCAGCTAGCGCGACAACGAGTGCGCAGTCATTGCTTTATATAGATGCATACAACGCCGCGTTGTCGTGTGAGCGCGAAGACGGATGACCCTCATACGGACTACGCGAGTGTGTGCGTGTGCGTGTGTGTGCGTGTATGCGTGTGTGTGTGTGTATGTGTGTTCGTGAATGTGCGTGTGCGTGCACGCGCGTGCGTACGCCCGTGCGTAGTGCGCGTGCGTGGTCGTGGTCGTGGTCGTGTGCGTGTGCGTGTGCGTGTGTGTGAGTTTCTTTACATGTTGATGCGTGTGGTTGTGTGTTTGTGCATGCGTGCATGAGTGTTAGTATGCGTGTGCGCGCGCCTCCTCTCACTCGGGCAGAATGTATAAACCACTTGACTATACAACGCTCCGACAGACTCATCCGTGTTATGTTTTTTTTGCGCAAGTTGCGCGGCAGGCAGCAGTTCTCACGAAGTTCGCACGCTGTTTTTCAATGATCGCCTGGCCGCCATCGACAATCGGCGCGCGAATTCCATCAAGCGAGTTTCGCCGTATTTCGTTGTATTGCGTGAAAGCACGAGTAGAGGCAATTCAAGGTCGGCCGCAGAAACGCACGTATACAACCTTCGCGTGTCCTCCGCGTGCGTCCCCACACACGCGACGCGTGTATCGCCCGTTCAATTTCACCCTTGCGCTTTGTGTGTGCATATATAGCACCATAGCAGCGATCTCTATATACTATATAGGATCTTGCGGGTGTAGAAGCTTTCTTTCGTTTCGACATCTCTCATCGTGTCGTGTGATTTGTCTAGAAAAAGTAGTTATGCGTTTTTAGTTTTGCGTGCCTGCGAACAACGGTGTGTATATACAGAAAGGCGATGATGATGCATCCTTCAAAACGTGAATCCTGCAAAGCGGTGAGAAAACTTGAGTGTGTGCGCGCGCGCGTGTTTGCGTTTGTGTATGTGTGCGTGCGGACGTCATGGCACTTGTGGGTGTTTAATATATATGGTGTGTGGTGTGTGTGTGTGTGTGTGTGTGTGTGTGTGTGTGTGTGTGTGTGTGTGTGTG